GGATCTCTGTGAGTTCGAGACCAGCTTGCCTGGTCTTCAAGAGCTAGTTCCAGGATAGGCTCCAAAGCCACAGAGAAACCCTGTCTTGAAAAACCCGAAAAAGAGACTTGTGGGTGAAGAAGGGAATCACTAGCTATTTTAGCTGAGTGAACAGATTGAATAAGATATGTAGAGGGCACAAGGTCCTTGTGCTCACAGATATGCACTAGGGAAACAGGAATAGAGGAGATGTATACCTATTTTCTACCCAGAAATCTGGAAATGGATGTAGTTAATACCCTGGTGATCAATGTATGCTACCTGTAGATCCGGACCACATCCCCTAGACTCTTCCTCCCTAGGCCTCTATCTTGAGTGTTCCCAGTCAATAGCACCCATTGTGTGTGTGTGTGTGTTTTGAGACAGGGTTTCTCTGTGTAGCTTTGTAGACCAGACTGGCCTCAAACTCACAGAGATCCGCCTGCCTCTGCTTCCTAAGTGCTGGGAATAAAGGCCTGCGCTACCACTGTCCAGCCTATCAGAATCCATCTTTACGGGAGATGTCATGCACTTTACCATAGCCTACCTGGGTCACCTCTGTGCTATCTGTATAGGGCCTGGCCACTCCTGATTCCCACAGACTTTTATGTTAAACTCCGTCATTCTTCCGAAACCCTTATTGAATATTGAATATTGTTCTCAGTCAATAGAACAAATCTTTTTGGAAGAGGCCATATGTACTCTGTAAAGAGTTTCTTTTTTTAACTTATTTTCATTTTGTATGCATTGGTGTTGCCTGGATGTATGTCTGTATGAGAGTATTGGATCTTAGAGTTACAGTTGTTAGCTGCCATGTGGGTGCTGGGAATTGAACCTGGTGCTTTTAACCACTGAGCCATCACTCCAGCCCTGTAAGGAGTTTCAATTTGAACACGTCTTAAGTTTTATTACATACACTGGGTTGAGTTAATTATCAGATTTTTTCCCCCAAATCATGCCTTGCTTAAATATGCCTAAAATAAATTGCCCAGTGTCAGACTCCAGACTCTAGAAGTGTGTGTGTGTACCAATACCAGTTACTGATTGACTTTGAACTGTTTTCTTGCCTCATTTGGATTGTTACTCTGCTGGCCCTGGTGTTAGCAGAGACTCCCAAAAGATGAGTTTGAGTAGGAAGACATGTTGTGATATATGCCTCTGTGACTTGGGCTAAGTTCTTGGACCATCCCTGAGCATTGAGAAACCACACTAATGCAAGGCTGCAGGTGTGTGTAAGTCAGAGGAAAACTTGTGGGAGTCAGTGCCGCCTTTCCATTACATGGGTTTGGGGGATGGAACTTGAGTCCTCAGGCCTGCCAGCAAGTGCCTTTACCTGTTGAGCCATCTCACATGCCCTGAAGTTTTATCTGAAGGGGCCAAAAGAGAAATTTGGAGTAAAATCTGGAAAGATTGTATGGAGATTAGGACCTGAAAGCCAAGAACACAAATACTCCATAATGCCTTGGAACCATCAGGATTTCTTTATCTTGAACTGTATTAGTAAGCCATTATTCAAACACTGACTCATGAGAATAATCATAACAGACCTTGTCTATTTCCTTCATTTTACAATGAAGAAATCAAAATTCACTCTGGCCCGATTTGACCATGAATTCCCTAGTTCATGTAAGTAAGAGGCACAGAACAATATTCACTACTTCTGCTATATTCCACCTGTCCCAATTCCAGTTCTTGGTAATGCCATACACATCGCACAAACCTAAAACTTCTATAAATTGTACAGAATGGCTCTTTGCACGCAGCATGTTAAAGGATACTAACTGGCCAGAACAGTATTCAGACAGTAAACAAAGTAGACGCCACTGGTTTCCCTGTGGGATGAGGTGATATCTGCGGTCTTTCAATTACCTCTTGGTTTCCTCTTCAATCATTTGCAGACAGGATCACGCCTGACCTAGGGACACATAACTTTAGCCAGCTTCCCTGACAGGCAATAAAAAGCCAGGCGGGCTCTTCAACTGCCTTAGGGAATGCGTTTTGGAAGTGGAACTCCACGAGGCGGAAATGAGCCACCCAGGTCACCTCCAGGAGAGTCGGGCCGACTCCCGACCTTTGCCCCGCTGCGCGAGCAAAGAACTCCACAGTGGGCCGCGAAAGGGCAGGTTGCGCCCTGGGCGCGGTGCTCAAAGCAGCGCGTTCGCGGTCCATCCATCTGCCCCCCCTACCTCGCCCTCTCCGGAGCCACGCCTCCACTCCGCGCAAACAGTGGGTCGGGCCTCGGTGCTTGCGTGCGCGGGGCGGGACACGGACGGAGACATCCGGATGGTCGGCGTTCCGCCGGGGCGGGGGTGCGCGCGCGCATCAACGCTTCCTCGCCCTGCGTGTGCGTGCGCGGCC